TAATATGAAACCTGTTTAAAAAGAAAAATCTGTTTGTGCATACTTTACACAACACATGTTGTGTTGTGTGCACAGACAAACAGCATAAAAAGTAAAAGATAAGAGAACAAAAAACCAAGGTAGGTTATAGTGACAAATCTGCACACCAGGCGGGACATTTCTGCCAAATCTATCAACATCCTGTATCTTGAGCTATCTTTTAAAATCAAGATTTGGATGCTATTTTAAGTTGGAGTAGGTGTGTACCTCATACGTTTTTCACTTTATTTATTCAGAGGGAAATAAAATGAAACACACGGATTCCAGCTTGTCAACAAAACATATCTACATCAAAAGACTGGCATAAGGCCAAAGCAGTAGTCTACCTGTCTGCTTAGCTCATATAGTTGGCAATGTCCACGGTAAAATAATTTGTTTTGGATAAGACAACTGTAATACCCCTATATAAATTAGTTTTGTGTCGTAATGAATTTTAAAAAGCTGAAGAGGAAGTTTAATATGGTGTGTTATTACTTCACATGCTACTTAAAATGCTACCGTAAAACAAACATGTTAATTGGTTAACACTATGTTCCCTTACTATACAGGAAAACTGTAATGGATCTTATTTAAAGTGAAAGGCTGTAGACTGACATTCCCAGAATTCCCTGGGTGACACTTCACATTTGTTGGTATTTTAAATAATTGTGTTTCTTCATAGTTTTGTTATCCGTTAGGGTTTTATGTTACATCCTATATTGTTCAATTAATGTTTATTACATTATTTTCGTGTCATGTGTGTTGCAATTAACTAGTATTTACCTCAGCCTGTGGAAAGTCTACTTGTGATGAACTTTGATTCTTCATCTTGCTTTACCACCTTTGTTATAGTATTTATCAGTATATGTTAATGGTACAAAATTGGTTTTAGTAGCAGCATAAGCTTGATAATTCAGCAGAAAAGAGCTGTTGGGTTTACCAGTTTAAAATTTAATCTATTTATTAATATAACTTACACTTTTAAGATGTAAAATTTACAGGTTGTTCTGTTAATATGTTTACATTTTAACTGTATTTTTTATACAATTATTCTGGCAGTTTTTTTTTTCTATACAAACTACAGGACTTTTTTTTTTACAGTGTAGAGAAAAAAATGCATTTGATAAAAATAGAAAATGTAGAGACCCCAGAGGTATAAGTCCACCTTTCTGAGTATCCATGGCTTTGACAGAGCACGTGTAGATTTCTTAATGTGGTTAATAGAGGAAGCATTTGTGCAGCGATGAAAGAGTGATTGACAGCTAACACTAATGAGTGCACCACACCCCGGGCAAGACTGGTCTTGCAGCAAATCAAGGGAGAGTGAGGTGGGGTGAAACAGAGGCAGAGTGAAAAAAGAACCTCAGGATTACTATTTCTAAATAAGATAAATCCATCACCTGTGATTTTATGCATGCAATGTTAACATGCATGTTAACAGGCATACCTATGATGTTACTATATTGTCTATACTTTGACAAAAAGGTGGGAGCTAAAGATATCTTTGACAAACCGGTCTGACACATGAAATCTGCCGTTATAGGCTGGATAGGACATTTGTCAAGCATCCCACATAGGAGGGGAGGTGGTGGTGCATACTGCTGATTAAAAGATATAGATACGGGAAACAGGAATATAGATAAGATAAAATAGGAATATAAGATAGGAATATAGGCCAAACTTTGAGGGCTTCCCAACAGACCTGACAAACAAAACAACAGACTGTGTCATCCAACATTATGCATTTTAATAATAGACCTACATTCATTTAACTGTCAAGAAAAAAACCCTGACTACTCTCAAAAACTAACTAAACCTCTGTCCTTACTCCACTGAATATTATTTACATATAAGTTATACACTACTGTTTAAAAGAAAGATTTCTGAATGATTTTGAAAGAAGTATTTTATGTTCACCAAGGCTGCATTTATTAATTTACAGTAAAAAAAAAAGGTATAATATTGTGAAATATTATTACAATTAAAAACAACTGTTTTCTATTTTAATATATTTTCAAATGAAATTTAGTCCTGTGATGGAAAAGCTGAATTTTGTCGCATGATCCTTTATAGAAATCATTCTAATGTGCTGACTTGGTACTCAAGAAACCATTCTTATCATTATCAGTGTTGAAAATGGTGATGCTTAATACTTTTGTGGAACATTTTTAAGGCTCTTTGATGAATAGAAAGTTCAAAAGAACAGCATTTATCTGAGAAAGATTTTTTGTAACATTATAGATGTCACTTTTGATCAATTTAATGTGTCCTTGCTTAATAAAAGTATTAACTTGTTTAAAAAAAAAAAGGAAAGAAAGAAAGAAAAGAAAAAAAAATGTGAATACTTTTGAATGGTAGTGCAAATAAGGATATTTACACTTTTAATGACCTTCATTCATATCTTTAGCTATCTTCAACTGTAAATATCAAAAACAAAATTCATTCTCTGTCTGACAGTTTATTGGAAATGGGGTCTGATGAGCATTGACAGTAGGTGTGTTAACATGAACTGTGCCTAGCCCTGCCGATCAGCAAGAATAGCCGGTTGCAGTTGGGGGTGGGGTTGAGAAGGAGAAAGATTTTTTGTAACATTATAGATGTCACTTTTGATCAATTTAATGTGTCCTTGCTTAATAAAAGTATTAACTTGTTTCAAAAAAAAAAGGAAAGAAAGAAAGAAAAGAAAAAAAAATGTGCTGACCCCAAACTTTTGAATGGTAGTGCAAATAAGGATATTTACACTTTTAATGACCTTCATTCATATCTGTAGCTATCTTCAACTGTAAATATCAAAAACAAAATTCATTCTCTGTCTGACAGTTTATTGGAAATGGGGTCTGATGAGCATTGACAGTAGGTGTGTTAACATGAACTGTGCCTAGCCCTGCCGATCAGCAAGAATAGCCGGTTGCAGTTGGGGGTGGGGTTGAGAAGAGATCCATCAGATCGGATGCTTTCTGCTTTTGGCAGTGTCTACGGGAATGACACTACCTACATGAAAGCAAACTAAAATGCTGTTGTTGAGTCGACTATGCAGTTTAAGGAAAATGTGCAGTCTAAATTTGAAGCATTTATTTAACCATGAACAAGCCTACATTATGAACCCAACCAAAGACAACATGCAGAGAATATGCCTTTAGAGGAACTTACAGAGGAACCTAATCTATTATGCTTCACTTTTATGTTTACGTATATGAAATCTTGGTTAAAAAAAAGTTAATTCTAATGCCTCCTAAAAATGGAACAAAAAACATTTCTTCTAGCCAATTTTATGGCGCTTGTAAACTTTTGTCATAATTGATTTGAGAATTCCACTACATTATATACAAAGGATACGCATTTTGGAGGATGGGTGGATGATTTGGAGATTCTTTTGTATTATGTTTTATCTTTTGCTTTATTTAAAATGATTTATACCTGTTTATTGTTTCATTGTTTTGTCTCACACACGTTTCACGTCACGTCACACATCAATTCTTAGTTTAATTTTAGTCTCAGTTTTTATCATGGTAAAATAAAGGCACAGAAAACTTTTTGTATGGGACCAGAGTAACTATCCGTTAAATTATTGTTAATTGATCAAAGATGTAATTTGAAATTATATGCTTGCAAATTGGTTGTCAGTGTTAAGACTAAATTAAATGTAATATGTATCGTCATTTCATAAGTCATTTTAAGTGTCTGTGCATGAATAAGGGGAAATTAAATAGAACTCTATAATTTGAGCTTATATTAGAGAAATGATTTGCTCTTCCTGCTTTAACTGCTTTTAATATTTAGATAAACACTCTCATTAGATGCCTGTGGCTTATCTTTCTGCCATTTGCATTCAGCCGTCCTGTCTGAGTGCATGAGTACTATTGTTCAAGCAGTGCTGTTTAACTCTGTTTGTCTGCCTGCCCTAACATTCTTGATTGTCTTCCCTCTGTAGATCTAGAAGACAGAGCGACCAGTTCATCTGGACCAGTGGGAGACTCAATGGTACCAGTTACATTTGGGCAAAGAGAGAGAATTAAGCACACGAGAAATAACGGCCATGTATGAGTAACACTGGAACAAAAACAGGCAACTGCAGTGCAGGAGTGCATGCTATAAGTTAAAGTAGCATTAAAAATGACAGCCCTGGGAGAGTTAAAGTCACATCCAGCTAGACAGGCTTCATTTGCCAACATTAAACCACATTTTGAAAAATAAAAAAAAGAATATTATATATTATTCGGATTTCAGGCTAATTGATTTCAGACTTCTTGAGGTGGTCTAAATAAAATAGCAACTGAATGCATTCTGAACCAGAACGAATACTGCCAGTATGTCTTTCCATGCTTTCTACTTCACTGTAAAACCGAAGAGTTTACACTAATGAAATGAAATGAGTTTGTTTCACTCAAATACTACTGAAAGTTCATTGTACTTAATTGTACTTAAAAGTTATGTGAACCCAAAATTTGATACTAGTAAGTGGAACTTCTTAAACTGACTTGAGTTGCAGCAGATTTCTAGTTCCCAGCATGCTTCGCGTTAGATTGTGTAAGGAGAATAAATGTTGAAATTAAGTGTTATTTTGTGTGTTTTTGCACAAGATTAATAAAGGGGAGATGTATTATTGTTTACTGCTCTGTTATTTTGGCATTTCAAGGTGTTTCTTTTATGTTGAAGTTTTATAGGTTTACCATCGTGGTGAAGAGTAGTGCTTGCGGATAGGTCGAGAATGGGCTACAAAACGTCAAGATGACAAACACTTCATGGAAGTATATAGTGATAGGATTTTTGGTAATTATATTAGCACATGCTAGTGTGACATTGTTAATTCACACATAACCAGGAAGATTGAGAGTTAGTTCCAATTCAAATCAGATTGTGGTTAACAAGATTGCGTAGTACAAAACAAAATGCAGTGGAGAATACTGATAGCATTTGTATTTTTATCGACTCTTTGCTTCTCTCTGGTGGTATAATTATGTATCACAGTCCATTAACTTGAACCATCCATAATGGATAAATGCAAAAACACAGCTTCATATAAGAATAAAACAGTTTATTTATTTAAATGCTTTTTTTTCCTACAACTGTTTGTGTCTTTTTTAAAGCCGTTCACACAACAAACACTACAAATTATCTGATGGAAATGTTTTACTCAGTGGTCAGAAGTACACTGCAAATTTAGATATGGAAGAAAAAAAAACAATCACAGTCATTTGTAATAGTTCATTCATGAAATAAACCAACAATGAACAACAGATGTTCACAAGCAAAAAATGGAAAATAAATTCACAAATGTAATGTGTGCAAATATGCAATTTCCATCATTCAAATAAAATTGTCCTTTTACCTGCAGACAGCTTGAAACTTGCTTTTGATGGGTGCTTTGTAGTAAATTTCTATTTTTACCAATTTCCCATTAGTAATGATTACACTCAACAGCATGGCTACATGTACTATTGCATGACCATTGCAACTTAAGAAATACAACAGTAATTGATTCACTAGTATCTATACATAACCTAAAGAAAAACCTTTGTTTTGTCAAATGCAACAGAATGTCTTTTCTAGAGTGTGAAGCAACATGGGCAACGTTCTGGAAGACTCTGGAAGACTGAAATAGTGTCCATCTGGTTGGATTTGTCTACAAAGAACAAAAAACTAATAATTTCTTGCGGGGATAATAGTTGTTCTAGTAGGGCTGCCTGTAGCATATGATGACACATATTTTCATTTGTGCACTTTTAAAGTATTTTGGTCATTTTCACAATTCTGAAATGTATATTTACAAAAATCTTTGCAGACTTTTTTTCACAGAATTGTTGAATTCAAAATGGCTACATGTGTTTTAGTGACTATTCAGTGAGCCAGGGTAAAGTGAGCAATAAGACTGTAAGACAGTATGTCAGCAATAATATATGAAGATTTATTACATAATGTTTGTAAATTTATGGTTGAATACAATGGACACTATTCCCTTCCCTGAGCTAAAAAAAAAAAGGATGCAAAAAATTTTTTACCAGCCTAAATAAATAGCCCACTACCATAAAAAGGGGTAAAAAGTTCAATAATTATAGAAGCACCCCTCACCATACTGGCTTTTTGGTCCACTTCAGGGCACCTGGAATACATGTTCATTATGCAGTATTTGTGCCTGCCTCTCAAGTAAGCACTGATATGTTAACAATAAATGCTTTTTAACAAGTGACCAAGGACCAGAGCTTAATTTCACAAGAACCGTCATTTTGATTAAAGTACATCTAATTCCCCGATCGGCTGTCCAGTGCACTTTGTCAAACTGAGTGGTCACTGAATTTGCCTGCTGTTCGGATCTACTCAGTCTTCTTCCTGAGGGCAGGGCTGCTGTTCCAGTAGTAGAGGACCTGAGCTGCAATCACACCATTACAGAAAGAAGAAATGATGTAGGTGACAGCCATGAGGGAATCTCCCGTTTCCTGCACAGAGGACACATTAAAATGGGCATTTATCAATGGAACTATATCAAACCGTTTTAAAATGACTATAAAAGCCAAAGAGGACCATAAACAAGTTTCACTACCATTAATTTTTGTTGAGTATAACAATTTTATTCAGCAAGGATACATTAAATTAATCAAATTCGTTAGATACATTGTTCCAAAAAATTATATTTCAAATAAATGCTGTTGTTGAACTTTCTATTAATCAAAGAATCTTTAAAAAATGTATCACGGTTTCCACAAAAATATTAGGCAGAACAACGGTTTTCTAAATTGGTAATATTAAAAAAACGTTACTTGAGCATCAAATCAGCATATTAGAATGATTTCTGAAGGATCATGAGACACTGAAGACTTACGTAATGGCTACTGAAAAGTCAGCTTCACAATCACATGAATAAATGACATTTTCAAATATATTAACATTAAGCTTTACATTTTAATTTATAATAACATTTCACAATATTAAAGTTTTTTTTGCAGCCTTGGTGAGCATAAGAGACTTCTGTCCTCTAAAATATTGCATGACAGCTCATTATAGTGGTTTTACCTGCACTGTAGTGAATATGCGTGCTAAGGAGCCTGCAAACAGCAGAAACACTGAAATAGCTGATAGCTGTCCAGTGTGACCATTTCTGTAGTTGGTACCAGCCTGAATTAACTGAAGACACAGAGAAAATTGGATACATTACAAGAAAAATATATTTCTGCTGGGTCAGCTGTTGAATAGCATGGTTGTTTTTTGGCCGGGTTACCCGTCCAAAGATGATGGCTGGCATATTAGAGGCTTGCATGGTAGTAACAACAGACACTGGGGTCACGGGAGATAGTACGACTGCCAGCAGACCACAATAGACTGCCAGAAACCCCAAACCTGCAAATAATCACAGCACAGTCAAAAGGTGCATCATAAACATTGACATTTAAAATAAATGTGAGCAACACAATTTTTTAAATTAGAAAGACATGTCAAATCGTGCTCTTACCTTTGATGGTGTTTCCTCCATAGTGCTGTATGAGAAAACCAATCGTTACAGTTTGAAGCATGAGGAAAAGTGCCTCACCCCAGGAACTGTCAAACATAAAATACATGTTATTATATCTTTATGTGCCCAGTAAACAGTTTTGCACTTTGTTGATTGATATTTATAAATGCATGGTGTGTGTATATGGACAAATGTTTACCAGACTTTAGCATAATTATGAAAAGGTGTCACTATTGATTTACCTGAAAGGGAAGCTGTTGGCAATACTGTAGGCCATGGTGCCTGTGATAGCAAACAGCTCCAGTAGCACGGAGTTAAAGCTCAGCCCCTCAGCACTTTTGGCACCAATCAGCTTTAGAATCTGAGGTAGTTTTACTGTGAAGAGACATGCACAAAGCATCAGTGTTAGAAGAAAATTGTTTGGGTTTTTGTGTGTTGTAAAGATGAAGGTGGGTGTTTTCATACCTAATACAGAACCAAGAATAATCCCAATGCCCAGGCCTTTGCTGATTACAATCTTCAGACAATCCACTATAGAAAAATCACAAAGAAGAAATCAGGATTCAATATGACTTCGTAGGGGGTTGCATGAGAAAGTTTGGGCACAGCTAACCATATTTTTAATGCAAGCTACAGAGCAAACATTTAAAACAGACATCACTATTATTGGCATCTATTATTGGCTATTGTATTTTTGGTGAACTTGTTGCCACACCCACTGTATTATTCATAAACATCTTTCACACATTGTACATTCATATTTTTTTCTTTTGAATGTATTTTTGTTGTTTTTAGATAATTATTGAAAACTTTTTTTTTTTTTACTTCTTGGTCATGTGACCTGATATTGTTACACAAGGCCGGTTCACATTCACAAAAATGTATCATACAAAAATATTTACATTGCGATATTATGTGCCTATCAAACATTTATTTTAGTAATACTATAGTGATTTTTTGTACTGTTAGTCCTTGTGTAATTTGGTGGGTCCAGGCATCAATGGCATTTTCTGAGAAATGCATAAAAAATGAATTTTATATAGAAAATGTACGAACAATCATAATTTTTTAATTTATGTTTTTCTTTATTTTTAGAAGAGTGGAGTGTATGCAGGACCAACAGTGGGATAATAAAATCAGGTCATGATTCCAATCGGTCTTGAACCCATGAGCCAACAGGCCTCAAATGTCCTAAACTAGTGGATAGTCCACTGTACCACTCATTCCTACAACCGTCAAATCAGCTTGTCTGTAAGGGCATTTTCAAATTTGTCTATTAATAATTTAAAATTGTAAGTTAGAATTTTCAGTGGTGTCATATTTTTGTTTGTGTAAAGAAACATAAGTTTAAGAACCCTACATTCATGCCCACATCAGGTGAAATTTTGCTCAACATGTATAATTTTCATGAGATTTTAAAATATTAAAAGCCATGGACAACTTTCAATAAAGGGAAAGCTCCACTACACATCCATTTTTACAAAATCAAATTGTTTTGTGCTTAATTAAAATATTAGATTTTTTTGATTATTCATATCCAAGTTGTTGGTTTTGCATTTTTGCAGTTATATTACAGGCAAATTGTCATCATTAGATCACGACCATTCAAATATAACTGATTTGATTTTGTCATGTACGGAAAACAACACAAAATCTGATTTCCCTAAAGAATGCATGTATAGGAAATGTTTGTATATGTGTATATATATATATATATATATATATATATATATATATATATATATACATACACA